TTACTGCTATCAAGGCAGAACTGACTGCTGGCTGACCCTGCAGCAGGTAGGTTTCTGAGGCTGTAAATAGCATGGGAAGAAACTGTCTATCTCTCAGGGGATGACTAGTGGATTTGAACCCCCAGAGAGGTTCCGCCTTTGCTTTGGCAGAGAAATTTCCCACCAACTACACCAGCACCAACACCCTGCTTTTCCAAGCATGATGTCCTATTCCAGGGACTAACCCTGCCAATAATACATCCAAAGCATGTGAGATAAAGTCTGACCGTCCGTGCGTCTAAGGAGCGCTCTGGCCGCACCTCTGCCAAGGCAGATTTGTTGGTTCTTTGGGCCACAGTGTATTTAGAGTAACTCTTTGCCAGCGCCATGGTGCAAAAGCATCAGTCCTTCCTCCATACTCCTTATTCACTGTCCAATTTTCACATGCTTAAAAAGCAAGTAAAAATATCGTTGTTTGGGTCAGGAACGTCTTGGTCTGTGAACTAACATCCTTGCTCTTTAGAACTTAACAAAAGTCCCTGACAGCAGACTGGCCCAGTGCAATAAAACTGCTTGACTTCCTGACCACTCCTTCCATGGAAAGCAAGGAAGATTCTCAGTGAAATGGGCAAGACACAGTGACCACAGCAAAGGGGTCACACGCACCGAGGGGCGTGGAGGTGGTCCAGCGGATGGCAGGACTTCCTTCGTTAATCAGAATATCATCGATAAGTGCAGCCGACTCGATGGTAACACGGAAGGACGCCTCAATAAAGCTGTTTCACTGGCGAACTTGAAAGCAAGGACTTTAAGATGCCACTGTGGTGGGCCACACAGCCTCACCAGGGGCAGGATCTATTGTCACCTTGAGCTCACCCTGGTCGAGCTATGACCTAACAGTGAACTATTTCAGGTGGAACACTGGAAGGAGTGAACCAATTCATGAATTCCTCAAGAAGGGGGTTCTAATTTCTAGTTCAGAGGTTTGTTTTTTAAATGCCATTTTCTGTCCTTTTGTACAATTTTACTTTTTTGTGCTTTCGGTGAAGGTTTACACATTCAATCAACAACTCTGACACAACCTCTTCGTGACAGCGGCTGCGTTCCTCAGTGTGTGAGCACATCCTCGGCGTTTCTGTTCTGGCCCGATCGGCTTCTTTTAACACTTTCTAAAGCGTGTTATCTGCGCAAAACCCTAAAGGCTCAAGCACAAACATCCTGAGAGCGCTTGGCTTCTGTAAACACCACCTGCTCTTAAAAATACCATCAACTCTGGCACGGGAGGGTCTCCCCAGAGGACACACACCCAGAGAGGACACACACCCGCTCCGCACCCGCTCCCCCGGCCCCGCCTTCGGGGAGTGTCACACCATCAATCACCAGCATGCAGGGCCCTGGACAAAGGTCTGCAAGGGACCAGGTATTTAGCCAGGTGTTGAAAGACAGGACAATACAAACAAGGGGGCCCTGGCAGGCACCTGGGGGACACGTGGGATGGAGGATTTGGAGGGAGGAGCCTAGGACCCAGGAGGGGCCTCTCCATGTCCCTTTCCGAGAGCTGGTGTGAGCTGGAGAACTGGGCTGGGGGCTCTGGGGGGTAGGGAATGCAAGCTGAGGCCAGGCCACCTACAGACTCCAGGTGGGGGTGGGCAGTACAGGCAGACCCCAGAAAAGCTGTTCCTGACCCCCGCAATAAAGTCAATATTGCAGAAAAGTGACTTGAATGAATTTTTTTATGTCCCAGCACACATCATAGTTCACATAACACCACAGTCTATTAAATGTGGAAAAAGTCTCAGGGGAGCTTTGGTGGCCTAGAGGGAAGAAGCTGCATTGCAATCCCAGAGGCGTGCAGTTCGAATCCACCAGATGCTCTGCTGGAGAAGGATGGACGACCTCCTCCTGCACCAGTCAGATCCGATTCAATGGTACACACACAAAAAATAATAAGAATAAATTTTTTTAAAAAAGAAAATGTCTCAAGGGAGAAGGATCAAAGTCGCAGGGAGGCGAAGTGAGCGTATACTGTTGGGAAATGGTGTGGATACGCCTGCTGGATGCAAGGTGGATGCAAACCTTCAGCTTATAAAAAAACAAAACCAAAACCCATCTGCAGAGAGCCAGAGGACACACACAGCACGGTCACCTGGACGTGGGCACTCCTGAGCGGCTGTGACAGAGGATGGGAGAGAGAGTGGACGTGACACAGGGTGACAGCCAGGTTATTACACAGTGCCAGCGAGCGAGAAGGGACGAGGGCAGAGGCCTGCGGAGATCCTGCAGGAGAGTGTGCTGCCCAGTGGTCATTACCGATGGCAGAAGGGGAGGAGATCAGGGATGCTTGCTCTCCAAACCCCTGATGCAGCCTTTCCTTCCCAGACCACTGGGGGTCTCACACTGCCAATCTCTGCCAGAGTCAATTCCAATTCACTGCAAATCTTTACAGAAACCGACTGCCTCATCTTCTCCCACGGAGCGGCTGGTGGACTCAAACCCCCAACCTCTGTGGGTGACAACAGAGCGCTCTAACCAGGGTTCCCAAGGCTACAAATCTTTACAGAAATTGACTGTCATCTTCTCCCACGGAGTAGCTGGTGGATTCAAACCCCCAACCTCTGTGGGTGACAACAGAGCGCTCTAACCAGGGTTCCCAAGGCTACAAATCTTTACAGAAATTGACTGTCATCTTCTCCCACGGAGTAGCTGGTGGATTCAAACCCCCAACCTCTGTGGGTGACAACAGAGCGCTCTAACCAGGGTTCCCAAGGCTACAAATCTTTACAGAAACTGACTGCCTCATCTTCCCCCACGGAGCGGCTCATGGACTCAAACCCCCAACCTTTGTGGGTGACAACAGAGCGCTCTAACCATTGCCATCATGGGGTTCTTGGAATGTCATCAACGCTATGAATTGTGAAACTGATGAGTGAGTGAATGCTGTGCTGTGCATTTTTTTACTACAACTAAAATTTACATTAAAAAACACAGTAAACTTGTTCATAATGACATAGTACAAATGATCAAAGCTCTCCTCACCCCACCTCGTGGGCAAATACAATTTTTCCTTTTAGGTTTTCTCTAATATCCATTAGCAATTCCTCAGTCCTAGGAACAAGGAAAAGACCACCCGTCTTTCACCCAAGGAGTGACTGGTGGATCTGAACGACCCGAAAAGCTCAGCCTCTCAGTTAGCTGTGCCACACCTCACAGTGAGCTCTGGTGGCCTAGTGTCAAGAGGCTGTGCTCCAATCCCAAAGGCAAGTAGTTCAAGTTTGCCAGCTGCCTCACGGGAGAAGGATGGGCAATCTCCTCCCATGTGATTAACTAACTGCCTCCTAAAACCCACTGGAGGGTCAGCTATGGGTCAGTTAGGACTGATGGCACACGATGCCACTACCTCCTCATGGATACGTTCATTACTCGAGCGAAAAAGGACTGTCAACTCACTGCTGTCAAGTCAAAACCAACTCATCGCTGACCTGCTACTGAGTTTCCAAGGTTGTAAATCACACAGGAAGAGTCTGTCTTTCTCCTGTGGAGCTGGAGGATTCGAACCACCAAAGGAGAAAAGCATTTGAGTTAGCCGTGAAACTTCCAATCAACCACGCCACCAGGGAGGGAAAAAGCTTCAGTGGCTGCCAGTGCCAGAGAGGTGCAGAGAAAAGGGGGTTGGGGGTGACAGCCAACAATACAGCTCCTGCCTGGGGTGCCAACGCGCTCTAAAAAGGTTTGTGCTCATGACTGGCGTCCCCTAAAAACCACTGTACACTCTGAATGGGTCAACCGCACGGTATATCAACCACCTCTCAATAAAGCTCTAAACAAAGGACTGTCTGGATACGGGAATGTGACAGGGCCTTACCTGCGTGTAAATACTGAAGATGTGACTCTGGACTTCATCCATCGAGTCGAGTCCATAAGCCACTGTCCCGAGGTGCAACCGCTTGAAAACCATCTCATTCTGGGTAAGAGTTCCTGAAACAAAAGACAAATTGGGGGGGGGGGGGGGGGGGGGGGGGGGGGGGGGGGGGGGGGGGGGGGGGGGGGGGGGGGGGGGGGGGGGGGGGGGAGCTGTGTCTTCATCCTGGAGAGCTTTAATTAGTATTAATAGTAATGACGGCTGTTGTTTCTTCAGACACTATTATAAAGCACACACTAGTTAGGTTGGTACTGACCCTGCTTGGAAAGACACCTCCAGTTCCTTTGCCCAGAACCTCACTCACTCCCCATCTCTGAAAAGAGTATCTGGAATAGGGAAAGTACCACCACCTTTCTCTGGGATGCTGGGGAAAAGGCTCTCAATGAGAGAATGTCTGATGCCTCCATTGGCCACAAAAGGGGAACATCTGACATACACTAGACCAATCAGAATCTATCTGCAGGAATCAGACGCTTGAGCAGAAAGATATGTGGACAGAAGATGGTTAAAGCCAACTTCTTCCAATGGTGGTGGGCTCCAAAAACAAACTCAGAAGGCTCCTGGCTCATCTCCTCCGGGGCATTTAGATTGTCTCCGACTTTACAACTGTCTTCAGAATAGACATCCTTCCACCTCACTGCCCCTAACTGACAGAGATGACCTCCCAGATAGGGAGATACTAAACTGAGGAGCAAAACTGTGAGAGTTCCACAATAGTCTATGTGTTTCCTACTGCCAAAGGGGCCCTTTAGAGTAGTGAGAGAAGATCTTCACCCTGAAACCCACAGCGTCCCTTTTCAGCAGGAAGTCGCTAAGAGAATACGCCGTCCCCTTTTCCTTATGAATCAGGGTGAAGTCTCTCTCAGGGAGGAGTGATAGGGAATGGCAAAAGACACACTGACAAAGGAGATTAATCAGGACTGGCTTTGACAAGTACTGTGGCAACTGGACAATTAAAACAGACTTTCAAGGGGGAGAAAAAAAAGAGGAACGAACTGGGGGAGAGGGTAGAGGAAATAGTGCAAAAATGAATGAATGGAAACCCAAAATCTCTGTAAATGTTCATGAAAATTAATAAAATTTAATTAAAAAACAAAAAAACAAAAACTGTGAGTGTTCTTCCTTACGACACTGAGACTGAAGACCAGAGCGCGTGGGTTCAAAGCTTGGTTCTGCTCCTATATGACAGTGGCAACTCACTAAGTCTCTGTATCTCAACTCCTCACCTGCAAAATGGGCTAACAATTCCATCTGCCTCCCAAGAAGACAAAGGGGACTGCGGGCATGTACGTGAACACCTCAGAAGAGTGGTTTGTGCATATTATCTGTTTGCTCTCACTACTGTCATCACTACCACCATCAAATCATCAAACCGCTCCCACCTTAAACGGTGAAGAGAAAAAAATGACAGCAGCAGCAGACATCTCTACCATCTCCACAAAGAGAAACCAAGAGTTTAAGTTGAAACGACAGCCTATGTAGATTCACGAGACCTACTTTCGCGTTGACCTCTGTCTCTTGTTGGCTATCATCGAGCGGATCCCAACTCATAGTGACACAAGTTCAGGGCAGAACTACGTTCCACAGAGGTTTAGAGACTGGGGTGATTTTTGGCATTTTTATAAAACACATCACCACGTCTGTCTGTCAAGGAGCTTCAGAGGGAAGTTGAACCACCAACTTTCAGGCTAGAAAATGAATGCTACACCCTTTAAACCACCCAGGTACATCCTTGAACCCTGTCCCAGGGCCTCGGGCTGCCGCTCACCTGTCTTGTCTGTGAGAAGGTAAGAGATGCGGCCCAGCTGCTCAGGGATGGTGCTGGAACGCACCACCGTCCCAGGGATCTTGGAATCCCGCCGAATCACCCAGCTGTACACGATCTTGCCCATATCCAAGTTCACTCGCAGACTAGTCAGAGATCCAAAGCAAACAGGTCAATCGGGTACATGTACATCTCTTTTCATAAACAGTATGGACGCTAAATAAACATCTGTGCCCTAACATCTGGCCTCACTCCTTATATAGCTACTCAGCGGCTATGAATCCACAGATTCTACAAGGGTTAACATAATTTTCAGACAACCCATTAAACAATCCTTTTTTCTGCCCCCTGCAGCAACCCTGTCACGGAACAAAGAGGCCAAAGGGTAGTTGGTTCACCCTTTATTTTTTCTTTTCAAATTACTGGGAGTGCCCTGAACCAATGTGCTTGCAAAAGCAGTATACTGAGCTTTCAATATCATTTTACTGCAAAAAAATAGAGCACTCCTAAATCTCTGAACTCACTAGCTGCTTGTCATTGGACTGCCTCACGCTGGTTCATGTTGTTATTTGAGTTGAGCACGACTCATAACGACCCTATGAACAAAAGACCTGAAGCCCCTTGACAAGTCTGGACATTTATCAAAGTTCATAGTTTCTTGTCCTTGGTTCATACAAATATTCAATTCACAAATTCTCAATAATGCTGTAGATAAACCTCTATAATCTGCATTTTCACTTACGCCTTACACTACACTTTGCCCCCTGGCAATGAAGCAGACTTTTGCCTTCTCTGAAGCCAGCAATCTTTAGCATGTCGGGGACAAACCTTCTGTGCTAAATGTTGAGTAGAGCAGTTTCTACGCTGCTTCACAGAAAAAGCCACTATCTGTCCTCTGAAGAGGACAAATTCAAGTTGGAATGATAGAAACATGCAGGAAATAAGGCAAAATTGAAGATAATACATTGTGTGAGACAGATGATAAGAATTACATTTCAGGAAAAAAAAAGAATTACATTTCAGGGAAGAAAGATTATATTTAATAAATACTTGCCATTTATTCTGAAGAAATACTAGAAATATGTATCTAGCAATACTGAAATGAGTGAACCTTAAATACCTACAAAGGTTGCTCTTAAAAAAGATGGGGCAAGGGAGCTCTGGTGGCCTAGTGGCAAGAAGCTGCACTGCAATCCCAGAGGTATGCGGTTCAAATCCACCAGATCCTCTGGTGGAGAACGAGGGGCAATCTCCTTCTGGACCAGTCGGATCTGATGGTACACACACAAAAAATAATTTAAAAAAAAAAGATGGGGCAAAACAACAACAAAATGATAGGGTACAAATATATTTGGCATAAAAATTTGTTCACAGGGAGCTCTGGTGGCCTAGCAGCAAGAAGCTGCACTGCAATTCCAGAGGTACGCAGTTCGAGTCCACCAGATGCTCTGCTGGAGAAGGAGGGACAATCTCCTCCTGTATCAGTCAGATCCAATTTGATGGTACACACAAAATAATAAAAATAAAATAAATTTTAAAAACCCTGCAAAACAAACAGTTATTCAAACTGTTCTGTAAGGGGGGGGGCATGCTAAACTAAATGAGAGATCTTACAAAAAGCAGAGCCTCCCTGTTCTACAGGAGAAAGTTATGCATCAAAAAACATCTCAAAATATCAACAACCAGGCTCACCTGGCAGCGAGATTAGCCGGTCTCTGGTGTCGTCTTTTGCTAATGCAGAGCCCTGATTTTTTCCCCCCTGCTATGAGTATCCTGATAATCTTAACCATTTACTCAGCTAACCAATCAGGTAGGAAAATCACTGGCATGGACTACTATCCTTCCATTGTGTACCTATTGCAGAATTACTGATGACACCTGATAGTATTTCCCGTTGAGCCCTGACTCAGGCTCAGAATTTGTTTCAATACAGCACAATTTGGTGCAACCATCCTGGAATGGTTTGGTGCTTCCAAAAGCTGAACGCAGAAATTCCATATGACCCAGCTATTCCACTACTTGGAATACACCCTGAGTATATGAGAACTGAGGCACAAACTGAGATCTGTACACCAATGTTCATAGCAGCATTATTCACCATCGCAAGAACATGGAAACAGCTCAAACGTCCAACCACAAACGAATGGATTGAGAAATTATGGCACATTCACATAATGGAATACTATGCGGCACAAAAATGTAAATTATTACCTAACTTGGGAGGGGCTGGAGAGTATTATGCTGAGTGAACTAACTCAGTCCCACAAGGATAAAAATATTGTATAAGACCATTATTGTAGAATGAGTATTAGGGCCTAGTGGCAAGGAACTGCAACTACAATCCCAGAGGCACACACACAAAATAATAAAAATAATAATAATAATAATAATAGAATGAGTATTAGGATCCAGAAGCGGTGGGAGAGGCTGGAAGCAGAGGGATGTGGATGTGCAGGGGGAAGAGGGGACTAATCACTGGGTTGTATAATTTGCTGGATGAAGGGGTGAGGGAAATTGAAAGAATTTGGTCAAATTTGTATTTGAGTTTTGTAAATAAAGTAGTAGGGGAAAAACCCCAGCACAACCAAGAGCTGCTATCAACCCCTCAGAGCTGGGCCATGGGCACTCCACAGGGCTCCCCTGGCACAGACTGGGCAAGGCAAAGGAAGGTCTCTGGAGCAAAAAACCATTCAACAAAGGACTATTCACTGCAGAAAATGCCCTTCCTATTCTGTGCCATGGAGCACAACGCACATTCCTGATTGGCTCATCCTTGATGGTCTCCACAAAGAGACAGCTCCTTCTAAGAACAAGTAATGAGAGGTCAACAGTAAACAGACCCTCCAGCCCTGGAAAGTCATGACGCCCAAACCCAAGCGCATGCCCAGCTGACCTGATGGGAATGATGTTGGAAAACAGCAGGAGGAACCGGATGATCTGCAGGTACCAACGGCCGGCAAAGTGCTGCAGGGCGACCATGACCAGCGACACCACCACCAGGGCGCCAAACAGGATCTTCGTGAGGCAGTTCACCTCCAGGTCAAACAGGCCGATCTGCGGGCAGTGCACGAGGGGAGCCCGGGTCACGTACTGCCACCCACAGCCCACCGAAAGGAGTGGCCCTTCACGCTGCTGGTCTGCAACACAGGGCTCCAGGGACCACAATTCACCCCAGATACCCACTGAGCCTCGAAGAAGCTAGATTTGGAACTTGCTGATGCCGTAAGAAGACTTAAACTGAGATATCATCAGCATGTTTGCTGGTTTTTGTTTGATGCCACTGAATCCATTTTTTTTATTTTATTAATTTTAATAGACATTTACAGAGGTTTTGGATTTCCATTTATTCATTGCCACACTTTTATCCCTCCCCACCAGCTCGCTCCCCCCTCCGAAGAGAAAAAGAAAAAAAATTCCTTCATTAGTATACAGTTCCCACATCCCTTCCCCCCATCCCAAGTACACTTCTCTATGCGACCTTAATTCTGGATGATCCCACTGAATCCATTTTTTAAAAAACTTTTATTTTTATTATTTTTATGTGCGTGTGTACTGTCAAATTGGATCTGACAGGTACAGGAGGAGACTGCCCCTCCTTCTCCAGCAGAGCTTCTGGTGGATTCGAACTGTCTACCTCTGGGATTGCAGTGCAGCTTCTCGCCACTAGGCCACCAGAGCTCCCTCTGAAGCCATTTTTAACTTACAGCAAGCCCATGTGACAGAGTACAAGTGTCCCATGGTACTTCCTAGGCCACAGTCTTTATGAGAACAGACTAACATGGCTTTCTCCTGCAGAGCCACGGGGTGAGTCCGAACCTTTGGGTCAGCAGGCAAGTGCTTAAAGACGGTGCCACCAGGGATCCCTCTCAGTCCATCCCTTCATACTCATTCAGTACTGCCTGAAGGGCAGGGACACACATCCCTGGGGGAAGCTGGTTTTTAGGTGCTGGTTGCCCAGGTGCTACCTTTATGGTAGAAAGCTCTGACTGAAGCTTTATGGCATGGGCTCTAGTGTGTAAGGAGTCGCGTTGGCAAACCAAAGTCAGGTGGTTCAAATGCACCAGCTGCTCTGCGGGAGGAAAGAGGGCAGTCTCCTCTAGTATGATTTACAGCCTCTGAAAACCCACTAGAGCTTCAGCTATGGGTCAGTTCTGATTTGATGGCAATGATGAGGTTTGGGGTGTTTTCTCCCCCCACCCTTTGACATTTATGGTGATATAGGTCATCAGGCTGCTAACAGAAAGGTTGGCAGTTCAAATCCACCAGTCGCTCTGCAAGAGAAAGACAGGCTATCTCCTCTTTTAAAGATTTACAACAGAAACCCAATGAAGGGTCACTCTAAGTCTACACCAACTCCATCACCAGCAGTTTGTTTGTTGCTGTTGGGGGTGGTAGGAGTTATATGTACTCATACATGCACTATGGATTCTTGGGTACATTTAATAATAGGAACCTGTATCTGTATGTTGCTGCTGCTGTTATGTGCTGCTGAGTTGGAACGAAGCCACACCTGACCCTCCGGGAAGTTTTCAGAGGTAGTTAGCTGCACAGAAGGGACTCCTCATTCTTCTCCCCTGGACCAGCTAGTGAGTTCAAACCATGTACCATTGGGATTGCAGCACAGCTTCTTACCACTAGGCCAGCAGAGCTCCCTAAGTGATCTATCAACACCACTGAACACTTCTCTCCGGTGTTTCTGGTTTTCAATCTAGTTCCCACCTTGTCACCGCTCGTCACTATAGTCCATCTGCTGAGATGGTTCTGGCAAGGACAAGTGGCCTGTTGACCACGGACATACCTTACTGCGGGGATTGGAGGTATTCATGACACTCCGGAGTTCTCTGCCAGTATAAAGAACGACACCCACAACGGTACCTACAAATGAGAAAGAAAAATTTAAAAAATCCCTGCTCAGAAAAGCCATGCCTGCAGATACGGGTCTTACAGCACAACAGCCTGACCTGCTTACGACAACGTTTCCCAAATCCATGAGGACATCAGAAACTCTAGGAACTATCCAATCACCCATGGCTATGCTGACCAACAAGGTGGTCACTAGCCACACGTGGCTCTTTAAATTTCATTAAGATGGACAAAATAGCATCTAAATTCCAAAATCAATCTCCATTATAGTCTATGTGTTTCCTACTGCCAAAGGGGCCCTTTAGAGTAGTGAGAGAAGACCTTCACCCTGAAACCCACAGCATCCCTTTTCAGCAGGAAGTAGCTAAGAGAATACGCCATCCCCTTTTCCTTATGAATCAGGGTGAAGCCTCTCTCAGAGAGGAGTGATAGGGAATGGCAAAGGACACACTGACAAAGGAGATTAATCAGAACTGGCTTTGACAAGCACTGTGGCAATTGGACAATTAAAACAGACATTCGGGAGCGGGGTGGGGGGGCAGAAGAAGAACGAACTGGGGAGGAGGGTAGAGAAAACAGTGCAACAATGAATGAATGAAAACCCAAAATCTCTGCAAATGTTCATTAAAACTAATAAAATTTTTTTAAAAAAAGATGGACAAAATACAGTCCCCAGTCTCATTAGCTGTATTCCTCATGTTCAACAGACACCTGGAGTGGGTGCCTCTGCACACAGACAAGGGAGGTTCAGGGCGTGTCCCCCATCACAAACGGTCCTACAGGACATTCTCCAAACACCACACAGCATGGATCACTCTGGAGGGCATATTTCTGGATAAGGTAGTCTTAACAGGACAGACATTATCACAAGCTAAAGAAAGGCATATACACACAGAAAGAATCATTCTTGGATGATTACAAGAGACAGGAAGGAATGGAGAAGGGAGTGAAAATTAACAAACAGCAGACACGTATAAAGATGAGTGAAGAGGATTGCAATAAACAATAAGGGAATTAGCATGATTCCAACTAAAGAAGGACGACACAGAGAGGGACAGAAGGAATCATGGGAATCCGAGTCACGGGGTGGAGATGGGTGTTATAACTAATGTTCTGGGTACTGCACTGTGGGTACTATTGTAAAGCAAAATGTATATAAGTGGCTGAATGAAGAATCAAGGTGTTTTGTAAACTTTCACTCAAATCACAATGGAAGGAAAAACTGGACAAAAAGACAGGATAATGATGGGTAAGGCTCAAAGGTGATTAATTTTATAAAACATAATGAGAATGATTTTATAAAACACAGTGTGAATGAAGAATGGCGTGAAAAACAATGTATATGAACTTTGGAAGCAAACCGGTAAAAAGAAAAATTTTAAAAATCTAAGCAAAACCCTGTAAACACGTTCTATAGGTCAGCACTCATCGATGGGGTCCTGAGCCAGCTGTGTGCCAATCCTGATTCACAGGAACCCCAAGTCTTTCAAAGCGGAATTACACTCCATAGAGCCCATAGAGCTTTCTACGGAACTGGATCAAAAGCCTCCCCTCCCCCCACTCCCCAAAGTACTTCTGGGTGGATACCCACATTCAGGGCTACCTAGCACTTTTCTATAGGGTCTAGGTGCATTTAAAAGCAGGAGAGTTGGGGTGTGGTCTTTAGTTCATGATGATACCCACCCTTAGAGGTGCTCAGAACATTACTATTCTCATAAACCATTATGAAAACTTATGACAACTCGCATTTGTCTAGAACACATTCTTCTATGTAAGACAACAATCTGAACAAGGGGTGCACTGTGGGGAGGGCTGAGGGAAATGGGAGCGAAGAAAATGTGCTACAACGGAAAAAACTTAAAACATTTTCAATGTTAAAAGATTAAATAATAGAATACATTCTTCCTGTCATGTTTACTTCTTGTCCAATTGTGTCTACTCATTCAAGAGATGTCTACCCAGAGAACTCTCCTTCTGTGCACTTGGGGTACACTGAGAAGACATCAATCCTCTAAAAGCAAACAAGAACAATTATAAGGTATAATTATCACACTCTATTCTTCTGAACAAGAGAGACTGAAGGAAGTCCAAGGATTTGGGAGGAACTGAACCGCGGGATTGTTTACAGGAACCACCAACTCTTTAGCCCTGAGATCAATATAACTAGACAATGCCCAGCTACCACTACTGAAAACTCTGATCAGAAGCACAAAAGGTAAGGCCTGATTAAACAAAAGAAGAAAAGGGAAACATATGTGAAACTGGCCTTCAAATTCTTTAAGAATATAAATTGAGGGGATGGACCAAGCCTGGAGGAATTCCCTGGAATGAAGATTCTGAGCTTCCCCTCACAGTTTGAATTAAAATATCTCCTTAAAGCATCTTTAAATTTAGCCCAAAGAGGAAGCTTATCACCTTTGAATACTGAGTCTCTTTTAAAACTGAGTCTCTTAAGAAAGAAATGATAATGATTTCTATCAGACCAAAAGCTTAACAGCTATTTTAAAGCACAGAAGAGAAGCTTGGAGGGCCTGGGTCTAGCTCAAGGGCTCTGGACTGGAGCTGGACATAAGCCATCAAAAGGGTCATGGGCCTGGGGTCAGCAGGGAACAGCAACACTGTGAAACAGTGCTGCCTCAGGCTCTGAGGTGGGCGGACGCTGCTGACTGACTTTATGTGGTGTTGCCCACACAGAGTACTCTGAGCTCCCTGTTTCAACCGTCCACGTACAGCAAGCCACTTGTAAGGTATCATAACCTCGTCAAATGGCTAATTATTATCTCATCTCTAGTTCTGACTGAAAGGATTCTTTTCAAAATGCCTAAAGGATTTGTTTAAGTGATGCTTGAAATGTGAAATATATTTTTAAATTCTACTCTTGAGATTGTTAACAGTTTTAGTTTGCTTGGCTCCATAATCAATCCTTTTTTTTTTTTGGTAGCAGAAGCCAGGAAATCAAGACATGAATTGCACTGGGAAAGTCAGCTGTCAGGGACCTCTCCAGAGTACTGAAAAGCAACAAAGTCAGTCTCTGGAGACTAAGGTGTACCTGATAAAGGCCATAGTTTTTGCAATTACTTGCTACGCATCAGAAAGCTGGACAATGACTAGGGATGATAGAAGGAGAATTGACGCTTTTGAGCTATGGTGCTGGAGAAAAGTATTGAATATACCATGGACTGCTAGAAGAACAAGCAGATTCATCCTTCAGAAGGTGAAACCAAGCTGCTCCTTGGAGGCAAGCATTCTGAAGCTTTGTCTGACATACTCTGGGCATGTTGCAAGAAGGGACCAGTCCTTGGAGAAGGACATCATGCTTGGGAGGATGGAGGGACAGCGCAGGAGAGGAAGACCCTCAATGAGATGGATGGATTCAGTCACTGGGGCAATGGAGGTAGCTGTGTCAGAGACAATAAGGTTGGCACAGGATAGAGCAGGGTTTAGGGCTCTTGTACATAGGGTCGTTATGAGTCGCAAACGACTCGACGGCACATAACAACAACAACTCTGAAAAAGAAAAGCAGCTTAGGGGGCCGAGAGTTTGTGTCCATGAGGATAAAACAATAAGAAAAGAAATAAGAAGAATACTGACACCAAGTGAAGAATGTCCCCAGTGCTGGCGGACCATGGCCAGAAACTAGGGAGAGGAAGCGGATTTTGCTGAGAACACCTTCACCAAAAGGGAATTTTAGAGAATAAACTAAACTGGATTTCCAGTTAATGTTCTCTAAGATACTCAATTCAGCAAGTAATCAAGGAAATATAAGACATTGTTACGCCTGCCAGCTACAAATGGAGTGACAGAGGTCACAAAGGGCTCAAACGGCCCCAGGCCTGTGGGGATGGCGCAGGACACGCTGGGCTCTGCTGTGTTGAATCACTGTGTTGAGTCACTATGAATCAAAACCAACTTGAGACACATCACAGCAATACAGTGGCCAACATTCCAGCCTGATGAGGCCCAGTGTTGGCCAAGTGGCAGGGAGATGGATTCTGTCACCCAGAGTGTTGCTCTGGTTTGACAATGAGCCACTCTCTGGTGACAGAAATGGCATCATCTATCAGAAATTCAGCCCTGTGTCTCCTTTCCAGTGTGTGCCATGAATACGCCCACAGCACAGTGAGGAAAACAAGGAATGCAGTCATCAAGGACAGAGACAGGCGCAGTGACTGGTGACAGGCATGTAGTGACTGGCAGGAGGCTAGAAGGAGGGGACCGGCTTGCACCAGGCAATCAGAGCTTCATCTCCGGGTGATATTTGAGCTGGAACTTGAGACACGTGACTGGACCAACCCTGCCAAGCTCTCAAGGAGGTTCTGTTCTCAGCTGGAAAAAGAAAACCCCTTCCTCAGCTCTTCCCTAGCTCCCCCCTCAGTCTCAGAAGGACCACTGTCAGAGGGCCAGACAAGCACCCCTCAGAGATAACAGGGGTTTGCTTCCAGACAACCGCAGCAGAGCCAGTATCACAATGTGAGTCGCATAATTTTTTTTTTCTTGCACGGTGCGTATAAAGTTATTCTTACACAAGACTGTACTCGTGACATGTGTGATCACATGAGGAGAAAGTCTGGGATGTCCTGAGAATGACCTGAATGGGACCTGGAGACATGAGCGCTTACAGTTGGACAAAGAGCTGAGAAAACTTGCTCGGCTTTCACAAAGGAGAAAAGACAATCTGTGCAAAAGCATCGTGCAATAAACGAGGCACTAACACAGCCTGCACGACCATCCCCAAGCTACTAGGCACCCAGAGGTTAAAATGCTTGTGCAGCAGGAAGAGAGTCCCACCCCCATCACAGCACCCCCCGCCCCCATCACAGCACCACAGCCGGGTCTTCGCACAGAGAGCCTCTGAGGGGGCACTCAGGCCCCAGGTCTGCGGCTCTCGGCCAGGCAGGCGCTCTGCACAATGCCACTCCTTTGGTGGACGCTGTGGGCAGATGGCAGGCCGGGGCCACTCACTTGCCTCCCGGCAGATGGCAGGCCCTCCGGGCTCCTGAGGTCACAGCAG